ACTGGAAATCACGTACGATGTTGGGTGAGGATAAACGCTATCGTGTTTTAAATTTACCTCACTTCTGGTTTTCTTGTTTTTCATTGGTTAGAACGGTGGCGTGGTAAGTCAGGCGGTTTTCCTATGTTTAAACTGTATGCTTGTTTAATTTCAGGTTAGCTGAGTGACGTGCAGGGACTGGCCTCCCAAGACGACGTAACGGATGACCAACAGGAAAACCCTTCCCCTCTAATCCAATTGTTTTATGACTGGTTGTAAATACAATCCTTGACCTTGAGTCTTCGTTCCTAATAGCATGCGAGAATTGTGTGATTACCCTGCTAACGTGCACTTTGCTCTCTATTTCAGATCATTGCATGACCATTGGCACTACAGTAGGTACTGTCTTGCATGGTTCTGTTGTGTGTGGTTTGCAAACAACTGTGATGACTATAAATGTAACACTATTCTAACATTGTTTTACCTTTTTTATACAAACACAAAGCTTTTTTCGTTGTAGCCCCTCCTGAGACTAGTTAGGCGTTTTGGTATTTATCAGTGACTACGGTCTCGTGGGTCCCAATGCATTTCTGGAGTTATGATTATACGTCCACTATTTTCTCAGTAGATATTTCGCACTCACGTAGTCTTATATTATGTTTTTCTTGAGAATTGACTGTGACAAGCTGTAGCAATAATGTGCTTCGCTAACAAAGCCTTTTTTTAGAAGTTCATCGCAGGTAATCAGTGCGAGTGGGAGCAGCACAGATGTAAGAAGGTTCGAACACATTGCAAGACTTCAGAAAGTGTGAACCTTACAAAATAATTAACAGTGTCCATATTTTGCACACATTACGTTCACCTTCAGAAGAAAAATCAGTAGATGAGAGATATTACATTGTAGTGAGACAACTTTATGGAAATTTTATCTAGCGTGTATGTTTCTTTCTAATATTTTTGTCCAACAAACCACTAACTAAGTTTTGTTAAATATATTCTTGTAGTACGTATGACTCGATGGCACAATTACTAGCAGCTAATGATATTAATTGTATATGCGTGATTTTCATGATATTTTCCGTACCATTGATGTGATCCATATTTCAGAAGAAGTATAAACCATGATAACTGTATTTTTAAAATACTAAAGTCATATATGATCATGTGTGTTAATCATATAAATGCCTGTTTTATGTAATTCAATTATTATGATTGCTTAGCGACGGTGAATTTAATCTGTATCACTTTTGGGAGTGTCGAGTCTTAATGAGGTCTCTCAGATAGTTAAATTCAATGGGAAGCTGATGTAGTCGCATTCGGACGAAGACACTCGGAATCCACTGAGGAGTGTTTTGCGATTTTTCACCAGATAGATTTGCACAATCAGTTGTAGGAATTGATTCTACATACAATAACAAGGGAAGGTAATTCCACTCATTCAATTATAATCATGCACATATTCTTTGTTACAGTTTGTGATACCCGATAAATTTGGATGTAGGCCTACAATTCTGTTTGGTTGAATTGAAGACGATTTTAGACGTGACGCGATTTGGATACTTGACAGTTTCCATCGAATAATGGGAGATACTACCAAAATGAAGACTTTTGTCTTGGACTGTGCTAGGTCAGTATATGTAAATAAACTTATCTGCATTGCATTGAAATAAAACTTTCTATCTAATATGCTTGTATTCTACTTAATATACTTGCGGTGGGAGTAAGGCATGCTAAACTGGTACTCCCTAAGATATGAACTCGTTACTATGTGTAAGTGTAGTCCTATATAAACACTATCGATTAATATAGGTGATGTCTTATAAGGACTTTAGTCAAGCCTAAACATCTGCCCAAAGTTAGGGGATTACGTCTCCTAGACATAGGTAAATCTGTAGGGACCAATAATTAAAAAAATAAATGATAAAATGTATTCGAAATATAAGAATAGTGTTATGTATGAATATTATGACCTGGTAGACTACGAGCGAATCTAACTTAATGTGCTGGCTAATCTGTCCTAATCGCACGTCAACAAAAACAACAATACCGCCGGGCACGCAAGGCAAAGAAAGAAGACTGGACGTTGATACGAGAGCTTTTACTATCTCTACAACAGTCGAAATGTTAAACAAAAACTCCGTATTTATACAGTTAGGAAAATCAATGTCACATTTAAAAAATATTAACAAACCATGGGAATTCAGTAATTAAATGCGAGTGCAAAAAATCAATAATCATGCAGGCGCAATCAATATTGATGTGTCACCTGTGTATATATCACCTCCCCCTTTTAAAAAGAATCTTGCAAACAGTTTAGTATCTTTTTTCCTTAGGGTGGATTTGAAAATGAACTGTTTGTGTTCGTTTGCGCTGGGATCGTCGGCTGGGTAGCATCTCTTGTTTTGTTTCTGGTTTGACTGGTGGTAATTTGAAAGTTTCCAGTAGTAATCCAGTGGCAATTTATGTTCTTGGGATGTGGAATATCGACGTCGTATCTGATTTTTATGTCTTATCCACCATTCATCTCCAACTTTAACCTTGTACATTAGAGTTCCATGTCGACATTCTATCAAGCCTTCAGCCCATTTCCTGTTCCTCGGTCGATAATCGCGCACATAGACGGCATCACCCTTGCGGTAATACTTCAGACTATTTCCTCGTTGATGTGACGAAGATGGTAACATGGAGGGGTGATAAGTTCGTAGCATTCGACCCATCAGAAGTTCTGCCGGGCTTTTCTTCTGTTCTGCCAGTGGTGTGGTTCGGTATAAGAAAAGAAAGTTTTGTATTGTTTCCGGTTTCGCCAGGTGTGGGAAGTAAATAATCATGCAGGCGCAATCAGTATTGATGTGTCACCTGTGTATATATCAAATAGAACGTAGACAGTGCGGTAGAGTATGATTTCGTCATAGATTAAGTGTATTCAAATGTAGTACATTACTATTATTTCACTTGAAGCGTGACGTCAATCCAAATGATTACCAGTGTTAACGTATAATTCTACGTGATATTTACATGAGACGAATAATTGAGTAGATGGAGCTACAGCAACTGTAGCACTTTTTCATTTACATTGAATTATGCCACCAATTACTTTCTCAGGACTCATTGCTAAGTCAAGCCCCCATTTCGTCATGATGAAAAAGTTATTTTCCCTCAAATAGGATGAGAAAAGTATGGTACGCAGGATGTTAGGTATATTTAATGAAAAATAATAACAAGCAAATGTCTGTACACAATTGTTTGTCGTAATTATTTCGCCGGTGTTGAATTGCTGTGACCGGGTTGACTGACGTAACCAGACTTCTGTAAATAAATGAATAAAGTGTATTGCTGAATCCGTTACAGTTAGGAAGTAACATAAAACTTGAACACTTTATTTGTCTACCTTTTCTGAAAAATGTTCATTCTCATTACGGTATTCTTCTATGGTTTTCACTATCGCATATATTGTTCCTCATGTCAAGTATAGCACTTAGCAAATGGTGAATACATGTTTTGGCGTCATTCTGAAATTTGACAGATGGTTCACACATTTAAAAAATAGTAACTATGGAAACTGGAGTAACACTGATTTCTATCTGTTCACTGTATTTCCCGAGGCGAAGTTTCTGATCCGCAGTTTGCAATGTTTCTATTGATTTGATAGGAAGCTTGATTTCGTGTTCATTTTAATCTGCTGTCCCCTCAAGAATCATAGTGTGCAGTAACTGCATATGCTCAAGCATTTTAACCTGAACATCACAAAGTCCCTCTAGATAAGCTGTTTAATAATAAATGGTCAAAAAACATGAGTCATAAGTGCAACTTCCGTGTACTTCATAGCCACGGATAATTCCTGAAGTAGTTCAGAATACCTTAGTGATCTGAAAATAAGTGACTATTAGGGCTGATATAACATGACTGAAGAGTCCCAAACTAGGACGAAACAGCTCTTCAGTTCATGATGAAATCATGAGAGATTTTATCTTTATTTCTCTGAATGATGCTGTCATTTCATAGTGTGTAGTTTCAGGTTTGATCATGAGTGGACATCAGTTAGACAACAAACATTGGAAGAACATCAGGTAGTACTGGCTAGACAGCTGTTTTGTTCTACTTTAGCACTCTTTAGAAGTACACACTCAAAAAAGTGTTCAAACCCAGGACCTTCTGATTACAAAGCCAGCTCATCGACCATTTTCAACCCCTGGGACCACATCCAATTACATGCCCAGACATCGTAGAATCATCTGCACAAGAAGTCGACATTGCACTCTGAGACCGAGCACTTCGGTCCAATCAATCGATGGGAAACTTTAAAGTCTAATTAAACCAGTCACTAGCTTATTGCTCAACACATTTACCAAAGAAAATCTAGGTGGATCGCACATACTATGAGGAGGCCATTCTGCTAAATGGTGGACCAGATTCTCGTTCAAGTAGAACGAGGATGTGAAACGATGAGTTGTACGTTGTTCCGAAGGTGATATGGAGGAGATTGTGGGAGAACAAATTTCGTTACTGGTATATAGTTCAATATATTTTCTTACCAATTGACATAAATATTTAACCTTCATTATTTGCATTTTTTATGACCTTTCACAAAAAAAAACATCACTTAACAGTACAGTTTTGATGAATAGCTTTCAAAAGTGTACACCAATTACACTGATTGGTCATCAGGGTGTAAACAACACAATGTGCCTTGTCCTTTCTGTCAGTCAGTGATCAAGCTAGATAGGGAGAAATGGGATCTACTTTTTGATGCTTGTTGGTACTCGCTAGCATTGAGTGCCTGAGTTTTTGGAAGAACTAACGTCTCCCAAAACATGGTCACCCCTTGCTACAGTTAGAGATATTACTCGTTGAGCTATTCGGATTAATTGACTAACCTCCTCTATGGTTGTAATGTCTACACTGGTCACTAGGAAGTAACGACATAGGCCGTAAGCTTCGTGCCGACTTCTTCCAACCCATGTAATATCCTTAGAGAGTACATTTTAAATCGCAATGAATCAAAGAGAAAAAAGACAACTTACCTAATCGTCTTTGACTTTCACTTATATTATTTACAGGATTCATTGGATAAGGAGATGAAGATCTCCCATATGATGGTGACTGTATATGCAGAAGTGTAACGTAACAGGTGTATTAGTGGTAGGATGCAGCTGCAAGCTACTTTTCGACAGAAAGGTAATACTAATTGTAAGCAGTGTCACATTTCAATAGGACCATCCAAGTGTTCTTCTTGTCCCAATGCACACTGATATCAAGATAAGTTGATGACATTTGATACAGTTAGCAGTTACTACCTTCCCAAAATTCCATGTGACAGTGTAAATTCTTCTAGTGTCACATCTTTAGCTGAACAATTGCAACTATGTACTTCATCAGAATGGACATTATCACACACATAATGTAGCCGCTTGTCTCACTCACCATATGATTTCTTCAATGTGTGATGAACGCTTTCATCCATCGCAGATGAAAATATCAAAACCTTAAGCTCCTCAGAACGGATGTCTAATTTATGTCTGTCAGCTTACACTCTATCAAAAGCCTGAATCTCATAGAATAACTGCTGTGAAATTAACCATTGCCTGTAGTCAGAGTGCGTCAGTGGCACAGCCGTAGGATGCTCGCCAACCACACAGGTTTTTCGGGATTCGATCGCTGACCGACGCACTCCTTTATCTCACTAAGTCAGTAGTAAGACTGGTAGAGAGGGAAGGTTGGGCATGAGGCTAGCAACCCTACCCTGTAAAATAAATAAACACCACTGCTACCGATGCTTCAAGTGTCCAGTTTGAAGTCATATGTTCCACTGGGGACGTAAAGGAATAAAATAAATAATTAATAATAAGGCTCCAAATCAAAAATAAGAGTAATTTCTATGAATAATTTCTCTAAATCGATGTCTTTCTTCGTAATAATTCATCTAGGATATCAAGACACTTTTGCTCATTATTAAGAATATTATACAAGAAAATATCGTTCCTTTTCGACTGCAGACGCCTAAAACTAATTTAATTTACCCCTATTTTCACAAAAATAGACGCTTATAACGCCTCTATAGGCATGAACACGATAACTCATACTATGTGCAAGAATAATTTGCGATAGCGTTTATCCTCGCCCTACGATGGTGATATGATTAGTTTCAAATGTATGCATTCAATGTGTCAAATTAAATGTTCAACTGTTGAGATTAACTATCAAAATGGATTGTTTAGTTTAAGAATATTATCATACAAAACAAGTATGACATGTTCTGACCTTCTGTTGCAGATTCTGAAATATATTCATCTTATTGTTAAGGAGGTTACAAATTTACTTATTTTTACCAACTGATGATGGATCCATACAGTTTCGATGACAGGATGTAGTAGACATGATCTATTTATTGCCGAATAATATGGTCATACTAGAGTAAGCTTTTCTTCACATTATGATGTTATCACACTTTTTTTCCATTTATCCCTTCATTTAAATGTGGCATACATTTTAAGACATATCCATTGATCCGTTGTAGTTGAAAAGTAATGTAAAAGTTAAACACTCTATATATGCCTACCTTTTTGTGACAAAGGTTCATTTCTGTGGCAGAAATAATTTTTAAAATCAAGAAAGTTTATTATTATATTATTGTTTCCTTTAATTCCTAGAGGAACATAGGGTTTCAGCCGTGCGTCTCCATTGCGTTCGGTTCTCTGCTAGAGTCTTCACCTGGCTCCAAGTCTGCCCACACGTTTCCATCTCCTCTTCACATGACCTCCTCCAAGTCACCCTCGCACTGACGACCAACTCGCCGCTTCCCATTCAGTCGGGTTCCACTCGAGCAATGGCTTGTCTAGTGATGTCACTTGATGGTTTCCTCAGAGTATGGCCAGCCAATCCATCTCCATTTCTTCCTGCCTATTTGTTTCACAATCGGTTCCTGCTGTGTTGGTTCGCTCCCAGAGATCTCTGTTGCTGATCATTTCTGGCCATCTGATCTTGAGTATTGAGCGAAGACAACTGTTAATGAAGGTCTGTAGTTTGTTTGAGATGCTCTTTATGACACGCCAGGTCTCTGATCCGTATAGTGAGTAGCACTGACTTCACATTGAAGGTGAAAATCCGGATCTTATTTTTGATGCTGAGTGCTGTTGACCTCCATACAGACTTGAGAGTAGTGAAAGCTTCTCTTGCTTTCCCGATTCTTGCTTTGATATCCTCGTCAGTTCTCTGCGCCTGTAGTTGAAACGATGCTTCCCAGGAAGTTAAAGGAGGTTGTTTCTTTCAGGTTCCTCCCATTTATGCTGATTGTTGTCTGTTGTTGTTGTTGCTGTTGCCCAGGAATTTTCATCACCTCTGTCTTCTCTATGTTCACCTGAAGGCCTATCTTCTCTGGATGTTTCTTCTGCCAACTTGTTGCTTTTCGCTTGCATATCTTCCATTTTGTGGGAAATCAGACATTTATCTAATGATAGAACAAAATATTTTGAAACTCGGTGGATGTGTACTGTCGATGAGTCTCAAACTAGGAAGAAAAAGCTGTCCAGTACTCCATGCTGGTTTCAATGGTTCTCTAAATGATATCAATCCACCGTCAAACTTGAAAAACAAATCAAATCCCCCTACAAATCAACTCTTAAAAACATAATTGTCATTTCACTGGGCTTGTTTTTATCAAATTAAACTGAAACAAAATACAAAATTAAATTAGTCTTCATGAACTTTTTTTCACAGAGTTAATACAACACTCCAGGTTATGACTAACATGGAGGATTTATTCAGAAATAACCTTCCAGCTAGAGGCATGGCATATTTTCGATCAAACTCATATACTGATTTGATACACAGGATAGATTGTGGTTGCTTGAGAACATTTTGATTTCGGTGACAATGTTTCATTTCATGATTAAGTGAAGACGTAATATTATCACTTGATAAAAACAGCTTTCTTGGTAGTAGATGGTTGCAGGCAATCGACAGAAAGCCTTGAACCTAGGTTTCATGCTAGTTGGCACTCATCAGCAAGGCGTATCTGCAACCTTGAAGGAACTCATATCCCTTCTGAGATTCGAACCCGCGTCTCCCAGTGCTGCACTCAGAGACGTTACCACTGAGCTATTCAGGCTTGCGATTGACCTCCTGTAGGACTGTATTGGACATTTTTGATTGCACACTAGTCAGTAACTAGTGTAATGTGTCTAGTCCTATCTTCGCTGCAGACTGAATTCTATCAGTCAAGCTTGCAATGTGGCCACCATGCTAGGTGGTTCGCCATTGCTGCAGAACTGGGTGACGCGGGTTCGAATCTCAGAAGGGACATGAGTTCCTTCAAGGTTGCAGATACGCCTTGCTGATGAGTGCCAACTAGCATGAAACCTAGGTCCAAGGCTTCCTGTATATTGCCTGCAACCATCTAATACCAACAATTCACAGTGCACCGTAATGGCGAGCCACCTAGCATGGTGGCCAAATTGCAAGCTTGACTGATAGAATTCAGTCTGCACCGAAGATAGGACTAGACACATTACACTAGTTACTGACTAGTGTTCAATCAAAAAACAGCTTTCTGTTTAGACTACCTGACTGGTTTCAACAAAAATGCGTCAAGTCATGTTGGTACTCTCCATGTAGTTCACAAACGTAGGCAAGAAAGAGATTCAGAAGAACGTTTATAAGCACAAGTTAAAAGGGGGAGAGAATAGAAATATGGAGATACAGTAGGATTTATTGGGTATAGCAGATTACAAGAAGTGAATGCATCTGAGACACTGAGAATTACTTTGAGCCATATCAACAATAGTTTCAATGCATTGGTTCTCAGCATCCTAAGTACCCCAACCAGGTACTCGTTGCCATCCTACGTGGCTGGTTCAAACTAACAGTCAGTGAATTCATAGAATGATGACAGGTTTTGATTTAGCCACCCTTATATCTTTTCCAGCCTAATCCTATATAAGTTAACATTGTTTGATGAGGAAGGAGATGGCATAGCATACATTACACGTGTCCGAGCGGCGACAACTGAAGCAGTTTCCCGACTTCATCGATTGATATTCCCTCTTTATCTAACACTCAACGCCTAACCTCAGTATCACTCATCCTATTATACTGCATAACATGGGAGATAGAACGTCGACACCTATGACCAAAGACAGCTAGGAAGACGGAGTGAACTGCTGAGTAGTACACACGTTCCTTGATCGATAGCTGAACATAAAGTCTACGTCAGAGATGGAATAAACTGGCAAATGCTACACAAGGCTTCAGTATTTAGACTACATAGGTAAGGCTTGTTTAGAAAGGCTTATCGTTTTTAAGGATTTGAACTTCAGCGTTCCTTCACCAAAACATTAAGCCATGAATCCAGGAAGAAAATTAGTGTTATTTGTTCAGAAAAGGTTAACATCTCAGCTTGGGGCTTATTCTCAGACAAAATGTCATTTATTTAGTTGATAAAGAATTGAACAACAACCGTTTCAGTGCACGTCACCAGAAGACGCTTTATAAATGGCACTATAGAATTTCATATGTGTAACCAATCTTCACTAAGTGAGACTTTATCTCAACTGTTAGTGAATGTGGAAACAAACAGAAGGAACAATTTCCATACAGATAGCACTAAAACAACAAGTAACAAGTGCATTTATTTCTCCACAACTTACTTTTGAGGTTTTAATAAATTATTATAAAAAAGGACAAGATGAGAAAAACAATAGGGATCTTTATTTTGCAATGCATCATGAGTAGCTAAGATAAGGGAGAAAAATACCCTAGAGATTCACATTAATTTAAAGTGAATTTCACAAATACCAAATTTTCTCTAGAAAAACACATATAATGTGAAAGGTAAGAAAGAAAGTTAGGACAATAAAAAAACATATCACAACTGTATGCTCTTCTACACGTGCTTGAAATGATGTGCTGTACATCCCACATAGGATATGCTGAATTATATATAGTCTAGATAACATGCGTAATTTAATCTAGGCAAGCACAGGATTTCACACTCTTCAACTTCCTTGGTAGGAGTGAGAAGATCAGCGTAACAGGGATGCACATAATTTCAATGGGTATTTATTTTCTCA